TTAATAACCGTATAATACTTAAATGAATATTATTATTGAAAATTATGTATATGTATATAACAGAAATCTATTTTAGATTTTCATGGTTATTAAAATAATGTGAAATGATAATAAAATACCTATACATAAGGTACCATAACATTTTATTTGGTATTTCAAATTATAATTGTAATTTATTAAAATTTTATCAATGATTATTAAAATATTCGATTTTTGTGAATTGTTTTTTTTTCGGAATATAATTACGAATTTTTACTCACCAAATGAGAAGAAAATGAGTAACTATGATTTATTTGTATATCGTAATTTTTGAGTGAGTAGAATTTCTCCCATGTGAGTATCCCGCTTTTTCTAAAACGTATACGAAATTAGATTATTATTTCTTAAATTTTTTTTTGAAGGTAAAGAAGTTCAGTCGAAAATTCGAGAAAAAACTTCAAAAATCGAATTGAAAGAAGAATTCTGCTTTAAAAATGAATAAAAATTGAGCTGAAAAAGTGAGATCCAAGATTATAAGCTGGAAGAATGGTAATATTTTAGTTAATAACGCGGTATGTAAAGTAATTGAATAAATTTCATCCTATATATTTCGAGTTTGGCTATTTTCAAATTTTATTACAAATAAAAATAGCAAAATCGGTTCAGTCGAAATTTGAAGATCTAGAAGCGAGCTTTAATTTAAAAATTTTGATGAATATGCATTCCAAAAAGTCTGTCTGCAAAATCTACCTAGTACCGGACTAACAATTTATAATATAATAGTGTTTAATTCCTATTTTTAATGTAACCTATAAAATTTGAACAGTTTTTAATATTTGTGTTCAAATTCTCAAATCTGCTTTGTAAGAAAATATAGAGCAAACTACTATAACAACCGATTATCCACCAAGCGTTGCGTATTTAGTGCTTCAATTTCCTTCAACGACTCATTAAAGGAAGTAAACTCATTTCAATAATACCGAAGTATTTCGCTGCAAATTCTAGTTACACATTCTTTTTTGGAAAAAAGGTTTTCAATTAAGAATATAATTAGAAATTTTTAGAAACTGCATACAAATAGAAAAATTATGTAAAAATTTATTTCATAATTTTATTTTGTTTTTTTTCCCCAAAAATTTTAATAAAAATTAAATTTTTTCATTTTCGTTAAATATTTGACTTAGATTTTATAAAAAATTTTTCAATTTATGATTAAAAACAAATTTTTTTTTTCTTCCATTCTCCCGTTCGCATTCATTTTTAAAAATTATGACTTAAAATTAATAGCTATTTTGAATATTTTTTTTTTTGTTTTAATTTTCATACTTTTTAAAATTTAATTTAATTAATTCCATTTTTGGTAATTGCTGTGAATTCTTAAATATTTTGTTTTATGGTTTGATTTAATAAAAGTTCCTTAAAAATTACTAATCTGTTATCCTAACAACTATGAATGTTAACCAATATTAATTCAATGTTTGACTTGATATTACAAAAAGCACTCTAAAATTACAACTGCAGCTTTTCTAAAATCATAATAATTAATTCGTTAAATATATTTTGCTTTGTTGTCTTGTTTGCTTGTTTAAGCCGAACTGCTTTGAATGAAAATTATTTCCCTGACAATTTTTCCCTCCTTAATATGCACGCTTTTATCGAAAGTAAACTAATCTAACTTTTTAACACAAGCTTATTGTATGTATGCTCTATTTTTTTGTGTATTCTTACAAAATTTAATATCATGCTCTGTTCACATTGCTGCAAAACTACAACAAATATTAATTTTCTCCGAAATGCTGCATATCGAAGCAATATCACCTATCCCATTTAAATCAATGAAATGAATAATATTTTGACATTTCTATACAACTGTCACTCTCGCAGTGTCATAGAAATGTGAACAATTCATCATTTAACAATGCAACACTGTATATAAATTTTATTTTAAAAAGCCTTAAAACTGCAGCACTTTATAAAGTTTTTAATTTTAAAAAAATTTGATATTTAAAATAGTGAATTCAGCTTATAATTTTATTATATATAAAAAAAATTATTCAGCAATATTAATTCACCAAATTTGTTCAGCAAATTTATTCAGCATTTAAAATTGTATTTCTAAATTTTTCAAATAGGCAGCATTATAAATATATTTTTCAGCAATACCTTTTCTATATTATTTTTAATAATACAATTTTAATTCTTAACACGAATTCGACATATTAAGCAAAATAATTTTTATTGCTGAATAAAACAAATTGACATTAAAACTGGTATTTAATTAAGCTATTATCATCATAGTTGTTATAGGATACATGTATAAATAAACTATATAACTTTTTCTAATTTTTCAAAAAAAAAAAAAAAATAAGAGACGTCATAGACCCTGAAATCCGAATTACAATAATACTCTTTTGCTGTACAATTCAGCTTATAAATTTTAATTGCTGAATTGTGCAGTGATACAATGCAACTGTAATTCCGATATCAGGGATGGTAAACATCTTAAAAATTAAAAAAAAAATTATACTAAAAATTATTGTAAAACAAAACAATATAATATAAAACAAAATGAAAAAAAAAAAATAATTAAATTTTATTATGACTATAAAAATATTTTAATTTTTTAATTAATAAGTAATTTTTTTTCGCTCATTTTCAATTAATTATAATAAAGTTTTTTTGTTTATTTTCAAGTCTCATTGCTTTTAATTTATTTTTAATTATTATTATTATTATTGTGTATATTAATGTTTATTAACTAAAATTTATATATTGTTTATATTGTATATGAAAAATATTTTATTAAAATTTTCTTTTTTTCTTTAATTTATTACAATTTTATGTATAAAAATTTATTAATGCCTTTTATTTTTATTTTATGGTTTTTAACATATTCTTTTGTTATTGCATTTTATTTGAATGCCCCAAAAAAATTAATATTATGTATATTAGGTGATTAAAATTAAAATTAACCAAAAATAAAGAAAAAATAAAAACAATAGTAAAAAAATTTTATAACTATTCTGCAACCTGTTGGTTAAATTTATGTGTAGATAATTTATTAGTATTTATATAAATATATAAATATATATATATATATATAAACTTTAATATTAACATTAACAAAATTTGTAATAATGATTTTAACAATTATTTATTAACTGTTTATGAAAATATGTGTGTATATATGTATTATAATAATGAAATAAGGATAATTTTATATGAATATACAGGATGATTCAGTAACAAGTTAGGAGCCATATATCATTAGGTAAATAGTCTAAAATGAGTAAAAATGGTGTCACAAAATAGTGTCAAATTTTTGATTTACATTCCGAACAGTGTGTCAAATCGGAAACGTTTTGCAGCTCCGCAGGGATTTTAAGAATATTTGATGAAATTCTAAAATAAATTGTTTCGCTTATAATTTCCGCTCAAAAAAAAAAATAGAAATTTTATACAAACATTTTTTGGAGGAGATTTTAGAAAACTTTAACAAAGAAGAGTGCATTATTTGGTTTTGCATATTTTTTCGGAAATACAAGCATTCAAAATTTAGGAAAATTCCGAATTCTTTTCACTTTTTTTTATTTTTTTTTTCGCCCCTAGAATTTCTCATGATTTTTTGTGAAATTCTCAATAGAATTTTCTCCATTTGATTAGGCGTTAAGTTAGACGACCTTTAAAAGAAATCTTTTATAATGCAGGAGCTATAGCAAACAAAAATAATTTTTTAGAAAAAGTATAAACTAGAGCTTTATTTTAAAGCGATTACCTGCGAGAAAAATAAGTTACCGAAGATGGCCGTACTATTTAAATCATAAACTGTTGTCATCCCAATTACCCTTTTTGGGGGCTAGTCTTAAGTACCTTCCAACTCCCTGTTTGAAGCTTGTTTGGAGCGGAAATTATAAGCAAAAAAAATTTATATAGAACGGAAATTATAAGCAAGGTCTTTCGAAATTTCGCCAAATTTTCTTAAAATTTCTATAACTACAATCGCAATTCGATACTATGTTACTAAACAAAAAATTTTTCTTACATTGAGCATTTTTGAGCATTTACCCGGTGGTATATGACTCCTAAATTTTTACAGAATCACATTGTATTGTGAATTAATTTATTTAATATTTAATAATTTGTTAAATAATTTTAATGAATTATAATATTATGCCCGTATGTGTATATATATATTGAAAACTTAACATTAAAATGAAAATTAAAATTAATAACAATCCTTGAGACTTAATTATATTATAATTATTATTATTATTATAAATTTTTTTTTTTGACTAAATCAATACTTTAATTTGGTATTAGTTTTTCATTATAATTGTGTATTTTATTATCTTTTTGTTTTTTGTTTATTTTCATTTACTTAATTTATTCCTTAAAAGATTACATGTTATACCATCATTTATTTATTTATATTTAGTTAATAATTAAAATATATAAAAAATAATAATTAAATATATTTATAAGTATAATCTTAATGTATATAAAAATTTGTTACTATAAAAGTTCATAATATAGGTCAATTAATTGCACTCTTGACATAGGAGGAGGGCGGGTATACGGAAACCTGTATTATAAAAATTTTTTTCCCAGTTCTTATTAAATTTTCTAAGAATTGTGAATACAAAAATTGGAATCGTATACACTTTAGACTAAAAATTTGTGTAAAGAAGGCAGTGTGCATTTAATTATCTACTGCCATAAGCAATTAAACTATTAATTAAATTACTATCATAGAGACAAGTTAAAATTTTTTATATTTAAAAGCAACAAAGATAAACAAATATTTCTTAATATTTTGAACAGTACCTTTCTGAATTTTAAAATTTTTATAAATATACAATTCTTATTTAAATATTTCATTTAATATTTCTTAAAATTCTCTAAAAATTTTGAATTATTCTTAAAATTATTTTGAAAATTAAAAAACGAGTTCGCCTAAATTTAGGCAATAAATTTATTTTTAAATTAATACTAAGCACATCATACCGATAGCTAGGCCGATTTTTTTTTTTTTTTCAAAATTTCCAAACATTTTTTACAACAAACAATGTATGGGTATATACAGAATCAGTTTTTCATTAATGCGAACAGTATAACAGTAATATTTGAAATATTCGAAATATTTATTGAAAATTAAGAACTTTTATAGCAATAAACGTTATAACAATATTTATATTTTTATAATAAATGTAACATATAGTTATTTATAATTATAATAATTAATACATAATTATATGATATACTTATATAATATAAAATGAATCGTTGAATTAATTTACATATATAAATACAAAGTATAACAGTTTCCATATAATAATATTATAATTTTAAATATACATTTATATATATATATAGCATATTAATTTGTTATAATTAACTATATAATTAATTTTATAACCGTACATTTATTTTATATTATATATACTTAATAAATTTTTTCTTATATATGTGTTCTACATAATATACAATAATTATACATATACAATACGAAATTATATAACATAAATATTTTGCTTTCTTCCTTTTTTTCTGGAATTTTTGGTCTTTTTTTATTTTTTTTTTATAGAAAGCACAAAATATACAAAATTTATTTTATTTTATAAAATATATTTTTTTTTTTTTTTTGTTTCATTGTAGTCTTACATTTCTTTACATTTCATTTTTTCTCTTCAATATGGTTTAGCAGCATCTTTTGAACGTTTCAATTGAACTTTAAGTCTTTTGGTACCAATTTGAAAACCATGCATAGCATGAATAGCTGCATGAGCTGATGTTGGATTATCATATGATACAAAACCAAAACATTTTGATAAATTTGTTTGTTTATCGATAAAAACTTTTGCGGACAGTACATTACCAAATGGTAAAAATGTGGATGCGAGATCTGTATCAGTGAATTCTTGAGGTAAATGGTATATAAATAGATTACTCCCCTCGGGACCTATAAATATAAATATGAAAAAAAGAAAAGGTAAAATTTTTCATGTCAATATATGAGATAGCATTAAATTATACAAGTATATATATACGAGTATAGTATATAAAAAAAATCTGATGTGGTCAGCACATAACCGACCGCATTGTGTAATGTCTAGTTAAATGAAAGTGTTACAGAATATTATAAAATTGTCTGTTAAATACTTCTTTCCAATTTTTAGGACATTAGTAAGCTTATAGTTAACATACTTAGAAAAATGTAAATTTGGCTCTTATTAGAGTTTCGCTTTGTGCTACCCGAATTCCCTGAAATGCTCGCCAGTTAGTTTCGGTAACAACCAGAACTCAAATATCAAATTTCAAGAAATTCCATCAATTTGTTCTGTGGATATGGTGAAAAATGTAAAATCGGCCCGCAAATCAGTTCTCGAGTCCTGATCTTTCCAAAAAAGTTATATGTTCATTGCTTTAATATGAGGAATTCATATATTAAATTTCAATGAAATTGGTTGATTATTTCTCTTTATACACACAAAAGTGTATGTTTGGCCCGTAGTAAACGTTTAGTTGCCGATGCCTGATCTTTCCAAAAAATTTACATGTTCATTGTTTTAATACGGGGAATTCATATATTAAATTTCAATGAAACCGGTTGATTATTTCTCTTTATATACACAAAAATGTATATTTGGCCCGTAGTAAACGCCCAGTTGCTGATGCCTGATTTCTTCCAAAAATTAGGAATTTTTGCGTATGATCGAGCAAAGCTTATATATGAAATTTCAAGTAAATCTGTTGAATACTTTCTTCAAAATGGTGAAATATGTAAAATCGGCCCGCAAATCCGTTTTCGAGCCCTGATCTTTCCAAAAAATTTATATGTTCATTGTTTTAATACAAGGAGTTCATATATTAAATTTCAATGAAATTGGTTGATTATTTCTCTTTATATACACAAAAATGTATATTTGGCCCGTAGTAAACGTCTAGTTGCCGATGCCTGATTTCTTCCAAAACATACGAATTTTTGCGGACGGTCGAGCTGAGCTTATATATAAAATTTCAAGTAAATCGGTTGAATATTTTCTTCAAAATGTTCAAAAATGTAAAACAGGCCCGCTAAAAAGTGCAGTTCCCGAGGCCTGATATATACCAAAAGTTGATCGATCCGTGCCATGGTGGAAACAAACTTACATATAAAATTTCATCAAAATCGGTTCAGCCGAACTTGAGATACACGCGTGCACACACAGACCGACAGACGGACAGACCGACAGACCGACAGACCGACAGACCGACAGACCGACAGACCGACAGACCGACAGACCGACAGACCGACAGACCGACAGGTTGCTAAAAATAGTTTATTTACACTTCCCTACTATGGAGAAGTACGTTCCCACCGAAAACTCGATATGCAAAATTTGTTGCCATCACATAACCTACCTATTGTTTACACAATACGGTCGGTAATAAATAAAGGAAAAAGGGTTGTATTTTCTGATAGTTATTCTGCTTTTCCTTATTTTATTATTTTTTTTTTCAGTTATTGCCTTTGTTTTTGTTTTCGAAATATAAAAAAGAATTTGCTAATGCGTAAAATTTCATTATAGAAATCTACCCTTTCCTTCCAAACCTTGCCCCACCGCCCATTTTTCATTTTGTATATGCTCATAATTTTGTAGATTTGTATGTTCTTGTACAATGTAATATAATCTTATTTGTTTACCGTTATAAATATAAAGAAAACAAGGAATAAAATTGTTACGATTTTTGTTTTATTATTCATTTTTTTTTTTTTTTTTGGGAACATATTTAATTGTGTTGGTTTTTCTTTCATTTAATTTCTCCAATTTTTTTCTTATTATATATGATAAGGCAACAGTAAAAGTGCTCAAAATTGAACTTAGAACTCCGACATGAATTCTAGAATAATATAGTTCTGTAATGTCAGACGGCGGATCGGCAACAGTTTTAAAGCGCTGGCAATAAATGTTAAAAGAAAATTAGTTTTCTTACAATGCGTAAAGTGCAAAATATTAATTAAGCCGAAGTGTGATATAGTGCATAATTACATACGAGAGTCCGTACTTTTCGGATTTCGCCTGTACAGATTCTTTGGAGTGACATAACGAGCCATTGTCTGATCCATGTACAGATTTAATGTAACAAATCTAATTCGTTAAGAATAGCTATAAACTTTTCATTTTAATAATTTTTTTGTGATTTGCCATTGTTTGAAGGCTCTTAAATACTCAAAACTGTATTATTTACTTAAACCTGCCAAAAGTTCAATGATTTCGATCTTTAACATTGAAGACACATTTTATTCCTTTTACTAAAACCCCATTATCAAAAACAAATATAGCAGAATAGTATGGCGAGAAAACAAGACTCGGATTTGATCCGAGACGAATCGAAGATTTTTTTCTTGTTACAGTTAAAATATCTGAAATCCATATTAAATATTATTTCATATTCATAACTGTACTGTATAATAATACAAAAGAAAGCATACATTCAAATACACATTCATATAAATATTACATACAATTAAATTTATTTATTTTATTTATGCATACCTTTTATGTATACACAATGTATGTACATATTATTTATATACAAAAATTTACCTTCAATTTGTTTTCCAGCCACTGCGTTTGCCGCAACAGCTAAAGCTGTCGATGCTGCTGTTATCGGTGATGCTGTCGTAAATGATCCATTAGCCAAAGGCGTAATTGGATGTGGATAAGTAGCAGTCATACCTTCTGTACCTGACCCTTTATTTATTATCATTATTATTATATTATTATTATTACATACAATTGTATAAGTATATACATTATATATCGATATAAAAAGTGAACCGGAATCCATCAAGAAATACAGTTTGTGAGTGTAAAGAAGATAAAAATAACAGAAAGAATAAAAGAACAAAACAAATTAAATTTTGAATTTTTTTTGTAAAAGAAATAAAAAAATAAAAATTTTTATATGTATAACATTTTTGTTTTAAAAATCTGTACATAAAATATGCAAAGTATATCAAATTATTTTAACCGATTTATTCAAACCTATTCAATATTTTAACACACATTTATGCATAAGTATATTTGTATGTTTAAAATTTTCATATATATATATATATATATGTGGAGAGTCTCTCATAAAATACAAACGTTTGAACATTATTATATGTGAGGTACTCTCTTTGTAAATTAGATAAATTTTAGATTTAATGATGTGATAAGAGACGTATGGTCCCTTTTTTTTATTTTATATTTTTGTTTTTGGTTTTTTTTTCTTGTTTCGGAGTTAATTGGGCGCTCGGGAAGAATAAATTTGTAAATATATTAATGTACATATACATATGTACGCTCGCAATGAAAATATAGATGAGATAAAGGATATATGGGCATTTTATACTTATTTCCTTCTCTCTCTCTCTCTTTTTCTCTTTTTGTGTATTATTGCTTATCTATATAGGTAATTTTTGTACATATGTGTGTATATAATATAATTTGATAAATTCTCAGTTTTTTTAAAAATGAGGGGTTGAGTATATTCCTATTCATTTTGGGTTTGGTTCTGTTTATTTTTGATAGCCTTTTTTTTTTACAAAAATTTTATACCTTTAATAATGTAGTACGTATATACAAAAGAAAAGAGGAGAGGGAGGAAAAAAAAATAACTAGGTAAGTGAATAAAAATTTAAAATAAAATTTTGAAAAGAGTACATTTAGCCACATGCCTATACTTTTGAATAATATTATGCAAATATCCGTACATTATATATAAATATAATATAATAGTATAACATACTCGAATATAGTGGATAGTATTATACTAGAGTATATCAGAAACAAATTGCAAGAAAATTCAATTTGATCACATACGTATAGGAATCACGTATAGGAATATTTTAACTATATTACATAACATATATGGAATATATAAAAATAAAAAGTGAAAATATTTAAATTAATTTTAACTGGGGGACATTTTATTATTTTGTATATATACTTATTTTGTATATATACATATATGCATAAAATGCGCAACAGACAAAGGGAATAAAGGGGATTATAAAAGTTTATTAATTCCTTTGGCGATGATAATTTTTTTTTTTAAATTTAATAATGAAGAGGAAAAGAACAGAGACTCGCCTGTCTACTTAAAATAAAAATAGAGGTGAACATTTTATAAGTGTTAATTTGGCATACATATTAAATAATTTATTTTAAATTGTAATTTATTAAAAAAAACAAAAGTTATGTAAAATTCATTAATTGGATTTTATGAATGAATATTTTTAAACTTTAATAATAAGTAGAGTAAATCAATTGAATTGCAATTAAGTTTCTCTTTTCTATCATTAATAAGAAAATATTGCATACTTTTGAGAGAAACATTAAATTGAGTTAGATTGTTGACTTATTTAGTTGTATTAGGCATAAGATTCTATTTTTTGATAAAAATTTTTTTTGACAATAAAGTCAATAGTGTCGATTGAAAAAATGGTGACCAAGAAAGTAAGCATTTAGCAAAATTTTTATGAGAATTTTTATGAGAATACGGAAAAGGAGAAAATTTGTAAATATTTTATCTCCTCCTAAATTGGTAAATTATTATCTCCTGGTAATAATAAAGGATGTTTAAATATAAAGCTCATTCAAAATGCTGCGTATATAGTAATACTAACTCAGAGTCTACTGGCCTACTAGACACGCATAACACAATAAATGAATATTCTCACAGGAGACACTAATAATCAGAGTTCTTATATCACGTTACTAATTAAGTGATATAAGTTGTTTTAATCAACAGATTGCATCCAAAAAATATCAACATACAAGGTAAGGAATGTTTAACATCTTTGAACCCAAATTAAGAGTACACTGCCATATTAAGGTTATAAACTAATCCTAATATAAGAATTCGATGTTAATACGGAACAAAAAATGATTAGTTTACTACATGCAGTTAAGGAAATGAAAAATTGATAAAACTATGAAATTATAGCATGCTTTAAAAAAATGTAACGAAATTAAGAAATAATTTTTCAAATAGTCTCATGCAATATGTATGAAAATAATTAAAGTTAGTATTTTTATTAGAAAAAATCAAGTCATTTCTGAAATTAACTTTATTTAAAATAAAAATCGAAATTATAGAAGCTATGGAAATATTTTTTCGATAATATTCATCAGTATCATGAAATATTGTTAAGTCGAATAAAGCAGTTTCGGTCTCTTGACACACATTTAGTTCTTAATATTTCGGAAAATTAAAAAAACTACATGTAATTACAATTAAAATTATCTAACTAATTTCATGCATATACTTTAGTTTTCAGTTTAATATTTCTCGATAAAATCATAAATTAGAGGAAGAGTTGAAATTTTTATATAAAAAATATTGACTCAATACCTCTATTCCTAATAGTCGGTAATAAATATGCTCTATTATACTCGTATTTATTTAATAATAAATTTCTAATAATCTTATGAGTATTTCGAATTATACCGCACATAACTAACTATACCAACCATTACCCACAATTTCCATTTATTTCACTTCGATAGTGCATAGTTTTTGCGTATAATGTCCAAGAGTAAAAAGAAACTGTACTCAATATTATTCTAATATAATAAATTTTAATACATATATTTATCTATTATATTATTTCTAAATTTACTAGAATACCAAAAATTGCACCTATTCGAAAAATTCTTATAACATTATTTTTAATAATATGTTTTTCATTATATAATATTGCTTTAATGTAATTTAAATGTTTTCACCTTCATTAATTATAATTATACCATATGTTATATCAACATTATTAATTAACTACTTTATTATGTACATTCATAATTACCCGGTATCTTAAAATATGTATGTAATATATAGTTATTTCTATGTACATATATGATTGTAATATATTTGTACATTTTATGTTCTCACACGTGTCTATTTCTATAATATTGTTATTATTATTTTGTATAGCATGAAGTGAAAATTAAATTTTCATCGGTTTTTTGGCAATTTGTTTCGGCAAATTTAATATATAAGTATATAGGTAATTATATAATTGTATGTATACATTTTATCTTTGGAAATAAAATAAAATTGCTTAAAATCAGAATTGGTTATTTTGGAATAAATCAAATTTAAGGATCTATTACATATGATTTTTAGATCGAGATTGTAGAATTCTACTCGAAATTGCAACACGATGAGACTAACTACCGAACAACTAACTCTTCTTTATTATTAATAACAAATATTAATTGTGAATGTATTGGAGGTTGTATTCTTTGTTGAACTTCTTTGTTATTAATAACAAATATTAATCGAGAATGAACTACTGTGACAGTCCGAAAAAATAATTTTATCGCCGAGATCACGTGTCTTTTTTTCTGGAACATACTTTTACTCGTCTCCTGATCATAGCTTCGAAAAACAATATTAAATATGTAGACGGTGATATAAAGCAAGGAATATGTATTTTCATTTCCTTTAAAATTTTAAATAAAATGCCTAAAAGAACCACACATTTAACTGAGCGAATTTTTATGTAATATTTCCGATTTTTCGCTAAAATCAACTTAGGTAGTTTTACTCTATTCTCACATAAAATATATTATACCCTTTCTATACTAAAAACATCTGTTAATTAAAAATTATGTTTACATAATAATTAAAAATAAAAAGAAAAAAAAATAGAAATAGTAGGTATAAAATAAAATTTATGTTAAAATACACAATTAGTTACAATTATACATATAATATGCATCTACAGATTAATAAAACCAAATATTATAATTTTATTTTTTATGTTGTTTTTTTTTCTTTTTATATAAATTTCATTTTAAAAAATAAAATTATTATGTATGTATGTATGTATGTATGTATATATATAATATGTTATGTATGTATTATAATATATATACTTACATATTGTTGGTGAATTTGTTAATTGAGCTGATAATCCTGTTGTAGGTGTTGCTGCTGGTATTGTATGTGGATGCATTTGAGGATGTGAACTCAATGAAATACATAGTGGATTTGTAAATAAATTTTGCATAGTTAATGGCGTCATCAATCCGGTTGCTTGTGGCATCGTAGTGCTGTGATCAGGTTGGGTATTTAGTCCTTTATTTTTTTTTTCGTTTTTTTTTTCATTTTTTTTTTTTTTATTTATTTTATATATTGTTTTTTTTTTTGATAATTTTTTTTGCCATTTTTAAAATTCATCACGCACAAGAAGTTTTCAACGAAAATTTTTTTTTTTTTTGTAGGTCACACACACCCAAAACAGGATTATTTACAAAATTGAACAAAACAAATGTGAAATCCAAAATTAGTCAATTCAAAAAACATTTAACATATATATATATATATAAATTTTAAAAAAAATGACATTCATATGTATAAGTAAGTACATATATATGTATGTATATATATATAAATAAATTTAATAATACTATTATTGTTATATTATGTAATTTATATATTAAATTATGTAATAAATTAAAAAAATGTAATTTAATAATAAATTTGTTATGTATGTAAAAATTTTATGTAAAAAAAAAATTAAAAAAAAAATAAAATCAAGAATCTACAACTTTCTTTCAAAAACACATATAATTTTCTCTCTGTGTATTCAACAGAACAACAGTATATATTGTATATATCGTATATATACATGTATACTATGTACTATATATATATATATATATATATATATATATATATATATATAGTATATATATATATACCATATATATAAATATATATATATATATATATATATGATATATAAATTATATATGATATATATGATAATTATATATGATGATTATATGATATATAAATATATATATATATATTTATATATATGGTATATATATATATACTATATATATATATATATATATATATATATATATATATATATAGTACATAGTATACATGTATATATACGATATATACAATATATACTGTTGTTCTGTTGAATACACAGAGAGAAAATTATATGTGTTTTTGAAAGAAAGTTGTAGATTCTTGATTTTATTTTTTTTTTAATATATATATATATATTTATATATATATATATATATATATATATCATATATATAAATATATATACTATATATATATATATAAATATATATATATATATATATATATATATATATATATATATATATATATATATGGTATATATATATAAATATACGATATATATATATATATATATGTATATATATATATTATATATATAGTATATAGCATATACTATATATATTTGTATATATATATATATATATATATATATATATATATATATATATATATATATATATATATATACATATTTTTTTATGTTTTTTTATTAAAATTATTATTGTAATTTAATAAATGCTTTGCATGCGTGATTATAAATTAAAAAATAATGCTTCGTATATTATTTTTATACATATGCATATTTTTGAGTATAGATGCAAGTAATATATAGTATATATAAATGTCTTATATATAAAGCTATAAAGTATATATTGTTGCAATATAATAATTAATAAATTAATAAAATAAATAAATAAATATGTGAATAATAAACAATAATATAGTAAATAAATTTTTTTTTATATGGTAGCATTAAACAAAAAAAAAACAACAAAGAAAATATTTTAACAATTAATTTAAAACACTTAAATAAATTACATGAGATTTTTTTTTTTAATCTACACTAGTATTAAAGAATAAACATATGTGCAAAAAAATGTTGTAAACAAGTTTAAAACAAATTTATTTATTAAAATTATTATAAAATTTACGCTTAAATTCATAAATTTGTAAATATTACACTCAAACATTATTAATTGTCGATTTCAATAAAAAAAAAACGTGAAATTAATGTAATATAGAGAAAGAGAGAGCAGAGCAATGAGAAAATTTAATAAATTTTTTTTTGTAGAAATTACAAATTGAGAAAAATATTCAAGTAGTACTTAAATGAATTCACGCTCAATTCATAATATAGAGAATTTTCTCAATTTTTATAATTTTCACCGGTCGCATTGCATACAATAAGGAAAATGATGTGATGACACCATCATTTTCGGATGTTGAGTTTTCTGTGGGAACGAAGTTCTGCATAGTAGAGAAACGTATATATCCTATTTTTGAGAGATGTTGGTCTGTTTATTTGTCGGTCTGTCTGTCGGTCTATGTGTAAAACAATAATATACAACCAATTTTCTGAAATTTAATATTTGAATTCTGGTTGTTACTGAAACTAACTGGTGAACGAACTGGTGGCTTAAATTTCAAATTTCTAATTCTGATACACAAATCGATTTAAAAATTGAATATTAATATCGCGGAAAAAAATTGTAATATACTTATATAATTTCATATTCATTACAATAAACTATTCAATTACTTTGGTTTTTCAATCAATAATTTATACGAAAACTGTACTACAATATTAATATAATGAAAAAAATTTTTAATACGATAACTGATATGAAATATTAAAATAATTTTCTTAATATTTTAAAAATAAACCTGTGGTCACAATGAAAATCTACCTAAAACTATAATTTTTGAACTTCCTTATTTATAAATTTTTATATCATCTTTTAAAAATTTAATTAAGTTATATATTTGAATTAGTTTTTTTTAAAAAAATACAAAAAATTCGAAAAATGTTTTTATGAAATTTATAGTGTTTCTTAAAAATCATTTGGTTCTACTGAATTGAAGAGTTTATTTTTAAATCATAAAATTATAACATATTGAAAGTTTCTTGTATATGATTACTTGTATTTTTTTTTCTCTCAAAATTTAATCAATTTATTCCCAAAAATTTAAATTTTATTTTTTTAAAGATCAATTTTAAATTTTGTATTTAATTTACTTGAAATACAATTTTTTTTTTTAAAGAAAAACAAAATTTAAATTGCAATTTAAAGACGCCTCATCCCCCTCTCTCCCTACCTTATACCTATGATTTATCAAAAATAATATTCATATATAAAATATCATCAAATTTCATTTTCTAAATATTTTTCAACAAATCCTTAATAAAAGAATCATTTATTATGATTCAAATTAAATAAAATAAAAAGAAAAATATTAAATTTCTTATGCACATTATAAATATACCATTCTAATATGTATAAGAGAAATCACTTATATATATATAATATAATATTATGTAATATTATGTAGTATAACAATAATGAAATATTAAAAAAAAAATTTAAAAGATCAAAGAAATTTGTATTTTTCCATGTCATATTAATTGAGCTATTTTTCTCTTTTTTTAAATAATCATAAAATTCTTGAACAAACATCTATAAAAATATACAACAAATTTAATGTATGTATATACACATACATAAATTTTAATGTATACAAATTCGATAATATTCATTTATGAATTACAAAAATATATTATTTATTTTTGGTTTATTTTTTCTAATTTTTTTTGTTGAAAAATATTTTTTTCCATTTTTCGTAATAAACTTTTATTATAAGTGAAGATATCAAAATATGATTGTATACACTTATTATTATTATTATTATGTGTATGCATGTATGTATTGAATTTTTGATTGAAAATCAAAAATAAAAGAAAAAAAAAATACAAATTCTCAAATTTATTTTTAAGAGAAATTGAAAATTCCATAAAAATTTTTGTAAATTTTATTTCAGGAAAAAAAAAAATAGAGAGAAATTTTTTAATTTTTTACAACTATATTTTTCTTTTTCTTTCTTACCTATATATAATACACCCATAATAAAAATATTAAAGAGAAAAAAAATATAGATTTTTCTATTATTTTAGAATCTTTCCTTTCTTTTTAATATTTTATTATTGGTGAAGAACAAGAAGAAGAAGAAGAAGAAGAAGAAGTGAAAGAAGGAGAAGAAAAAATGTTATAAAAGAAAATTTCTTTTACAAGCATTTAAGAAGCTCATAAAATATGAGATACACGAATTGTTCGATAAATATCATAATAATTCTATCTCGACCTACAAAATGAAAGTATTTTTGAGAGGAAGACGAAAAAAAAAAAAAAAATCTTAAAAATATTTTTATGTTATATTGATTCTGCTGAATATCCTTTTTTTTTTTTTTATTTCTGTCTTTCTTTTCTATCATCTTTGAAATGTTAAAAATTGACAGTTTGAAGGATTCCTTTTTTTTTTCAACTTTTTTTTTGAAGTCTTATTTTTTTTTTAAATTTTTTTTTTTTGTTTAAGAAAAAAGGGAACTTTGTTATATTTAATTTTATTTTAAATACAGGGTTCTTCAAGTTAGATCTCTCGTTTTTTCTCGTGATATTTAGCATAATATTTGCGGGGAGGATTGGAAGGGCATTATTTTTTATATCTTCTCTCTCCCTAGAAGTATGCAATGAGAAAATTTTTCATGGTATGAAAAATCACATTATCGCCATCTACTTCTTCTTCCTTTTTAAAGTATTATTAAACGTCTTAAATTTTTTTTAAGGAAATGTGCTAGTTAATAAACAATTGATTTGATTTGAGTGCCCTTTATCATGAGATTATTCGTTTATCATCATTATTTGTAGAATAATAAGAGTATCGGAACGCTTTAATTTTAAAGTAGTACTTTGTCTTGGTTTCTATGATAGAGTAAACTTTTTCGAAGCGACTATCTCACCCACAATATTCGTAACGCTATCCTAATAAATTCCTAAATTTCAACTTCATTTTCCTATTCGGCACAATTTCTAAATACTAAAAATTTTCAACCGAACCCATTGAACACCTTATATATTAAAGTATATCCCATAAAAAAATTCTTATCTATTTTTATACTGCAGTACATCATTTCAATTGCTTTCGTAATAATATTAAATAGGAGTGTAAAAACGTGAAAATTCCCTACAAACATAAGTATAAAAGTATGGTTAAAGAAAAAAATTTTTTTATATACCATCCATATGTTTACAATGTTGTATAAAAAAATATAATGATATTTTATTTTTTTATATGATATTTGTAAAATTGTTGAAAAAAAAAATAAAAAATTATTATAAATTGAATTTTTTTTTTTTCGTTCTTAACACTTTTATATAGAAATATTCTTTGAACGAACAGGTAATTGACATGTTTAAAATTTTTCATAATATAGATCAGGTACCTTATATATCCTCCAAAAAACAGTTAGTTATATTGTCAAGAAAAAAAAATATAAAAATGTTACAACATCCTTTAGCAAATACGAGTTATGGGGGGGTTATTTCATGTATACAAATGATTTAAAATAGATTTTATAACAAAATTTTAAGGTCGCGATTATTATTTAATAAAAATATTCTTTTCAAAATTTCATTCAAAAATTTAATGAATTTGTATACACATCAAGTTCATCGAGATGCACAAAAATTCATCACTTTAATATTAAAAATTAAAAAAATTTAGTATAAAAAATTTTTAACAATAAGTTTTTGCTTGAAATTTAAAAATATTGGAATACGTAATATAAGATTTGTAAATATTTTGAACTTTAATTGAAACCATATGATTCCTATAACAATTATGTCTGTTTATGCAAGCAACACTATGTGAACTTGACTAAATATTAGGACAGTGTGAAAAAATCTATTTTTTGTCTAAGTGTACGAGACAACAACAAGACATCAATTGATTTCTTTCAATCATATTTTAGCTATATCACCTAGTCGTGGCCAATGCCATCCCCCTCTTTATCAATTCAGAACACAACAATGTTAGTACTAGCATATAAGTGTTGCACGATGGGGGCTGTTTATGTTAAAAACACATCTGTTTTGTTCGTCAGTCTGCTTATTTATAGATAAGTTTCTGTGTCACCGAACCTAAAAACGAAAAATAATTTAATAATGAATACATATAGCCAAAATAGTTTTTTATATTATCACTGCCCTATTTCGAAAACATTTTAATCAAATTTCGATCAAAAATAGCTGAATGATTACATATCACAACTATGAGGTTTTTCCATCCTTTTATTAAAAATATTACCTTAAAAATCGCGAACACTCAACTCAAAAATAGGTCTTTGATGTGTTGAGAAGACGACACGACTCAAATATTTCTCATGTCTCAGACAAAATTTTACCACAATGGCATCATGAATCTCGCTTTGAGTCATTTTGCTTATTTTCGTTCCAAAAATTGACTTTAAACCAAAGATTATTTTAAATATAATTCACACTGTTAATTGAATACACTTCAATATACACCCGCTTTCAGGAATTTTACATATCTAGTTATATATAACTAGCATTCGTTCTTATACGGAACCCCCTTTATGTGTCTATAATTCAACTAAGCATTTGTATTAAAAATATCGGTATTATTTATATATATATACAACAAATTTAATTTTAAATTAAAAAAATATCGTAAAAAAATTTACTACTTTTAATTATTACACAATAAAAAAGCACTCATCTATCGATAAATTAACCCTATACTTCTACAACAAAAAAATTATTATTAATTATTTACCTAACAAATATCATGCAAAATGTATAAAATGTAAAAAAAATATGAACAGATAAACAAATAGAAAACAAATTATTAAAAAAAATTTTTAAATAAAAACACAATTTGTTTTTTGCAATAAATTTTTGAACACAAAAAAAAAATATAAGCCCTGATTATGAAAATCTCATGTGATTGGAATTTCATCAACCAGTTGATAAAAGTCAATTTTTTGTATTATAAATGTCTTCCATTTAATGAGAATTATTGTTTATCAACAGACAGCTAATGTCAATTAAATATTCTCTATACTACGTCATTATTTCTAAAAAAAAATAGAGACGAGAAAATTTTGACAAGAGTGTCATTAATTAAAATAAGTGAACAGATTTGAATTATCTAAACAAAATACATAAAATATGTAAAATATTTAAAATTTTTATTCTTATTAAAAAAAAAATTATAAAATTGCAAGTAGACATTCATAAAATTGTGTGACATATTCGGACAGACTTGTTCTATATTCTATGTACGAGTACTCTACTTAATTTCACTAAGAAAACTTTCATAATCTGGGCTATAATATAGAATTTTAATTATTAGAATAAAATAACATTTATAATACAGAATGAAAATTGAGAAAATCAGCAATAAAAATAATTGAAAAAAAAATAATTAACATAGAACAACAACAAGAAAAACTGAAATGACTACTGACAGAAAAAAAAAAAACAAAAAGGCAGAAAAAGGTTACAACAGCAATTCGAATTTAAGTTTGTTTCTTTGTTTTTAGTGTATAAAATCAACACATTCTCACACATACATACACAATATATAGAAAAATAATTATTAACTTTTAAGACACATTCATAATCACACACACACATTAATAACAGAATGTAAATTTTTTTAAATTTTGTTTTGGTTTCGAAGGATAATAGACTGATTTTGTTGTTGTTCTTGTTTTTATTTTTTTTTGTTTGTTTGTTTTTTTGTTATTGTTGACTAGAAACGAAGTTTTATTCATACATTCTACAAAATAAGCAAAACATATTTACAGTTATAAACTGTTTTATAATATTTGCGACAACATTTAGAAAAAAAAACACGAACCTCAACATATATAATATATATGTATGTATATATAGTATACAAAAAAAAAAAAATTTAAAATTTAAAGAAACAACAAGAAAAAAAAAATGAAAAAAAAAAAAAAATAAAAATGCTTTTGTTTTTTTTCTTTGTGTGTGTGTGTGTGTGTTGTTTACATTTTTTTTTTTCAAATTTTTTATGATAATTTTTTTTTTTTTAATTTACTTTTCTTACCCTGTAGAAATTGTTGTTGTAAATTAACTGCTTGCAATTGTTGAAATAATAATGACTGTGATGACAATGCATCATTCATATATGGATTTCCTGATTGTGATTGTGGTAATGCGTTTATTGTTGGTGGAATTGCTCCAGCTGGTGGTATCGTCATTTGTGTACCATTATGATATTGTATTTGTGATGGATTCGATGAAGATGATACAGCTGCTGCTGCTGCTGCAGCAGCTGCAATTGCTTGTGCTGTTGTTAATGATGTTGCTGACATTGTTGGCGTTGGTGTTTGTTGATTAGATTGTATTGAATGTTGTAAATTTCCTGTTATTGGTAATGTTGCTATTGCTGTTGGTAATCCTGCTAATGCTGTACCAGTTGTTGGTCCACCAATCATATTACTATTATTATTATTATTATTACTATGATTATTATTAAGATTAGTCTTTGATAATGATGATGATCCTGATGATGATAATGCTGTGGATGTTGTTAATGCTGATGACGGTGGTTGTAATCCATTTGAAGTATTTGAAATACCCCATAAATTTGCTTGTAATTGTTGAATTTTTTTTTGTTCTTTTTCTTTTTGTGTATCAGCAAATTTAACAACAAGTGGAGCTGAACAACCTTCCATTGTTTGACTCTGATGAAGTGCCTGTTAAGCAGAAAAAATAAAAGTAATAATAAGTACATATGAAATAAATGGAAAAAGCACATATAGTGAAAATAATCAATAAAAAAAAAAACAACAAGAGAGGAGGAAAAAATTTTGAATTTAAAACTTTTTTTTTTTCTGTGTAGTTGGCAATAGATGGAAAAGTTAACTTTGTGTACACTTTAACTCTGGTTACGTTGTTCGTTCTTTTCTTTTCATTGTGTTTTTTTTTTTTGTTTCAAATCTTTGGTGTGCTTTATTTTCACTCTATTTTTTTTTTTCATATTTTCTAACTAACTACTATTTTTAGTTTTTTTTTTTTCGTTCTCTTTTGTATTTTGTGTTACTTTTCTATCTTCTTATACATGAAAAAGCAACACAGAAAAAAAAAACAGATTTGTTAGAATAGAGAGAAAAAACAAGAGTAAAAACATGCTTATTTTACATAATCTGGCAAAAACATCAGCGCTCTTAGCTGGCTATGTGCATTGTACCTATACTTTTGCATATATATGCTGGATGTATATATAAGCCATCAATATGTTTATATACATATATATATGTATTGATATCCTAATAATAATGCTTTGTTATATTTTTCATATAGAAGTCAAATTTCTCACATTATAATTCTACATATTCATATGTGAAAAATTGAAAATTTTGAAAAAAAAACAAGATTTATAAAAAATAAAGTTTTGTAAAGGAGCCGATTTTTCCAAATTATATCGGTTTTGTAATATAAAGAATAAGAACGGAATTTTACTGTTATAATCAAAACAGTATTCGAAATATTGCGTAAAGAAGATATCCCGCTAAATTGAAGCAGATTGAAGATTAAGAATACCCGCTAAATTGTAGCCGATAATAAACAATCAGAATTACACCACAAAAATTATACACGTTAATCCACCTAGTGAAAAAAAAATTCAACTCCGGTTCAAAAATTCAAACAAAACTTTTGAACCGGATGGAGTTTTGGAATTATTATTATTTGCAAAAATTTACTTACAAGGCTGCTAAATAAATTTGATTACAAAGGCAATCAACGAAACCCTTCCAAGTGATAAGCGCAAGATAATTGAAACTATATTCATTTAACAAAACACAAAGTAAATACGATAGATTATGTTTTTAACGTAAATTTAGCGTATAACGTAATTTGGAAAGTGACAAAAGAGAAGAAAATTTGAAATACTCATAATTGATTTGCGTTATTCACCAGTCAATGTTTTTTCCAATATTGACCATTCATGCCATCTAAAATCTTACGTCATCAAGATAGTAATTTAAAGAGTATATAGAGAGAGTAATTTGAAGATTGACTTTAAAATTAAATTTTGAGAAATATTTATGAATGATAACGGAAGAAAGAGGGAACATTCAAGAGAGAGTAAAAAAAAAATTTCTTTTGAGTAAAAGTAAATTGCTTCCAAAAGCATTGGTAATGGGTTACAATAAATTTCCCTTTACCAGAGATTTTTAGAAAACAATAAGGAACAACTTAAATCGGTTGCCAACTAGCCAAAAAAAACCAAAAAAAATTCACTTATGAATGCAATTCCAAAAGAAAAAACAAACAAACATCACATTTATACTTAAAAAATATTTCGTTAAAAGGATAAACGTTCTGAGAGTTCGATGAATGCTGAGTTTATGTTTATTTTTAGCCATTTCTTTTTTTTTAACATTCATCACTTTTTCATATACAAACACAATAGAATTGGTAATAGTTGATAAGAGAAGCGATATGATAATTAATGTTGAACGTTTTTCTTCTTTTCGTATATTATTATGTTGATTATTTTGTTGTAACAAAAGTGAAACGGAGCAAACAATAGGATTAAAAGTAGACAAAAGAGTTCATTTCATATACATACTATATAAACACATGCATATATACATGTACATACATACATGTATATTGAAGAATATGAATAATCGTGTTGCTGTTGATGATGTTTACCATTTAAAAGAAAAAGAACAAGAAGAAGAAGAACATAAAACAAAAGCAATATTACATACACATACGACTGACTGCCTTATACAAATGAGAAAATTTGTTTAGGAAAATGTAACAAAAAAAAAACAAGGAAAACAAAGGAAAAAAATAAGCTGAATCCTTTCTTTTTTTTTCCCATTATTTGTTAGCTAAGTGTAAAGAAAACAGCAAAAAAAAAAAAAAGCACAATAAAAAATTTGATAACAAAAACCTCAAACTAGAATATGATTGAATCACTATTCAATCTGCCTGTATGTATGTATGTGTGAGTGTATCTTATAGGTACGTGTATGAATTTACATTGTATTTAAAAAAAAAAAATAAAAACTTACTTTAATAGCGCCAATTGCTGCTTGTTTTGATGCAAATGTAACAAAAGCACAGCCTTTACTTTGTCCATTTTGATCCCTTAATACAGTGCATTCTTCTATAACACCATGGCCATTAAAAAGTTGTCTAACATCACTTTCATTGTATTTTTTATTTAACATTCCAACAAATAGTTTTCGTTCTGAAATTAAAAAACAAAAAAAAAATGAAAAATTTATTGAAATTTTTTATGAATTTTGAATTTTTTTTTATTTTTTTTTTGTTCTTTTTTAAATTTTGACATTATTTACTAAGAGTTTGACTTTAAAAAAAAATTTTTATTTTGAATTTTTTTAATTCTTAAGGGAACTTAAAACTGTACCGTCTCATTTTTTAAGCGAACTTATTGCCGACCGAATCACGGTGATATGAAAGTCACAGTGGAATTTTCTATACGTTCTTTCGAAATTTTCAAAACAGAAAAAAAGGCAATATTAAATGACGTCGAACCAGAAATATTCGTAAATGACGCCGAATCAGAAACTTACTGGTAAGCATAACAAAATTCTTTATATTGTTTCTGTTCTAAGGATTTTTCTAGTTTAGGGGAACAAAAAGTCAAAGGAACGTCTGGCAATACGTTCCTTTGACTTTTATTTCCCTTCTGATTTTAAGAATACGTAATCATCTTCTGAATTAAAATTACAACAAATTTTCTTAACCAAATCTTAAGTTGTAGAAGCTTTTTCTAGAACACCATAGACTCATATTTTGGAATGCAACACATTTACATCTTACATATCATATTATCCGTATATTGAAGCTTTTAAAAGATATGTCAAATATTCAAAAACTTCAATCGAATATCATAGACGGTCCGTTTTTATCTGAACACATTACACTTAAGAATGAAATTCGAGAAAGTTGAAATGAATAGAATATTTGAATGCTAGCTGATTTTACAATAGATTATGGTTAGAATGTGCCTGCTACGAAAGTATTACGCAATACCACTTTAATGTGAATATTATTCGGGGTTTTCTGCAAACATCTTTTATTGTTTCCTGCAAACATCATAATCTAGTTCTCGAGGTCGGGGGACTTTGGGGATTTGGCAGTATCAATACTAGTCTATGTGTACCTTGCGGTAGCCGCTTCGACTTAACGCAACCTAACCCTACATTTTTAGAAAAAGTAGTGATAGTCAGTTATTATAACATTTTTAGTATTCACATTTTATACTTTCAGGCATAATGTTAAATTCTAAGCTTAACAACTTCATTTCATTCAAATTATATCACAACCACACATATGTATCCACCCGCATTAATATCCTATAGTTATTATTTCAAATTTTTTTTTGTTTTCATATTTTATAATTATTATGGAATGTAAATGTTTCAAATTAAAAGGATCAAGTAAGCGATACAGACTTTTTAATTAACTTTTTAATCTGTAGAAGTGGTTATGGTGAATGACAGTATAGAGATGGAATTTGTTTACAGTTTTTCTTCCTTTTTATAATTTTATTGTATGTTTTTCTACTGTTTTTTTTTTTCAAATATTAAGTGACTGTGCTACAATGATTTTTTATAATGCAAAAAAAAACAAAAATCCGCAATAAAAGTAAATTTAATTTAATATACAATTTTTTTTTCTTACCGAGCAATTATAATTAATTACATTTAATAAAATATTTGCTTTAATAGCTGATAATTGGAAAAATAAATAATTTTTCTGTTTTTTAAAGTTTATATTACGGTTGGAACCAGTTAAGTGAACTGAGGAAATATTAAAAAATAAAAAATTAGAGATAAAAGTTAACAAATTATCAATTTATGTACAGAAATTTTAAGATTTTTTTTTTTTCAAAAAGTTTCGATTGAATGTGTTAATTAGTTTAACATTTTGTAGCATTTTATACGGTAACTTTGTATGTACACCAACAAAATTTATAGTGGCTCGGAATAAATCAGTACAACATAGAATTGTGTTATAGCAAAAGTATATATATCTACAAATCTACAACACTGTTCAGTTGCCATTCAATATGAATATTGTGAACTAAAAATAATTTTAAAACATGCTGAGAAAAATATTAAATTTTAAACAAAAAAAAAAACAAAAAAACAAATTTTTCAAACATTTTTATGAACTTAAAAAAATTTTGCGATTTTTCTTTATTTTGTAAATTTTATAAATATTTTGTTTTCAAAATGACTTTGGAAACCAATCATATCCGGTTCTAATACTTTCGATTTTTAACACAAGTTATGTAATTGAAAATAAAATTGATTTTTTTTAGAATTGATTTAAAAATTTCATAATATTTTAAAATTGAATTTTTCATTCAAAAAAAAAAAAGAAAAATAGTATGGTTGAAATTAAGAGATTGATTAACGCTATTTCCAATGGCATGATTATTCTATTTCCTGTACAGATTTTGGAAGATTTTTCGAATGGAATAAATATAGAGGAATATAGAAATGTTGCTCCTCCATGCAATCGAATCCGTCTACAAGTTATTATAGCTCAGCTCTAGTCTATATCATATCCCGATCGAAAATAAGAGTATGAAGCTATTTATATTAGAATTTCTCTGTTAAATGAAGGAGAATAATGGACAATGCGTTCTTCCATAAAAAAAAAGAAGAATTAGAAGTAACTGTGTTCTAATTGCATAACGCCATATTTTACTACCAAAATTTGCAGGAAAAAACAATGTTTGTTACGACAATTTTACGATTTTTATTTCAGTATGGAAATAAAATAGGAAATGTGCCGCTTACGATGTTCGTAATCGAAACTAAATTATTACAACATTAATTCTAATTTGTAAAGAAAATTTTTTGTATTTCAGAATCTAATGGTCAACTTTTTCATATTTTACATTTTTATATCATATCAGACTAAAACAAAATTTTCTTTAGATTATTGAGTTGGCTGGCAACATATGAATTTTCAAGTCTTTTTACTATTGTCTCTAGGGCATTTATACTATCCTCTGCGCGGTTTTACAACAGTGTAAACGGGTATTCGAAACCGTTTACAGATTTGAAGAACAATACAGTACCGTACACGTAACTGGTAATATTTTCCTTAAAATGTATAAAAATGTGGCTTAAAATTGAGCAATTCGAATGAGCCACCTAAAATGTAATCATTGTCAAGTTCATTAAGAGTTAGGAAAACCAGAATCACTAAGAAAACTGAAAGCAAATAAAAATTACATTGCAGATTTGCAATTTCTTTCGTGTTCTTCTTAAATTTTGAAAACAACCAAAAATTTACCGAATTTATTTTAAAATTTGAAATGGTTTGTGAAAATATGAAAAAAACTGCAATTTGTGAGTGCAAGCTCAATGTGGCTCAAAGAATTAAATCCACGAATATGACATCAAATAAAACACGGAGTTTTTTAAAAAACTCTAGACCCTATTCCATTCATTCAAAAAATATATTTATAAAATTATTATTTTATATAGAAAAATTACCCTTTAAGTAATAAAATTTCTTAAAAACATTTTACTTATTATTTTATAGAATTCCCATGTGCCAAGAGTTCGTGAGATTTCATTTGAAATTTTTAGGATATTAAAAAAAAAAAACAAGCAAAAACAATTCATAATTTATTTTTTTATTGCGAAATTTTAATGCTGCATTGCGTTGAATTTTATATTTTGGCATTAAAATAGAAAACCAGAGAATTTTTAACTAAGTTATATAATAAAATTAACAAGTAAGGCACTTGCTTACAACGCGTTAACGTAAAAATAGAATTTCGAATCCTTTTCGTAATCGGTTTTTCTTAGTAATTAGTCTTTTAAAATGGTTCTGAAAATCAATTTATGGACAGTTTTTTATTTAGAATTTTTAATGTTGGAGTTTTGTACGGATAAAATGAATGTTATAGAGTGAAGTTTAAAAGGTTCCATGAATTTTGTTTGAATCTTATTTCAAAAAATTTTCATATTTCATAAAGTATGTTTGTAAAATCAACAACAAAATTCTTAGTCTTACTATGAATTAATAACAACACAAAATTTTTACATATACTGTTATTTTAAGCATTCCTAGAATCACATTTGACATACAAAGGACAACATAATGTTACCATTTAATGTTCCTGTTTAAGATTACTTTGGATTAGTTAGTATTTATACAATTCAAAATTTAATGAATTCAATATAAAATAGAAAATATTTTCAATAGTTTAAAAGTGTTACCAAGCAATTTACATAAAGCATTTCAGCTATTTTAGTGCAGGACCATTTTTCGAAACTACTAGAATTTGGTTTACTAGTATGTTAAATTATATAAATATCATTTGAAAAACATACCAGCCAATGGGCTATTCACTGGACATAGGAAATTTTTTATTATTGTAACATTTTACGCTTTTTGGGTCCTATTATTAAAAATATTTTTGATTATTTTCGAAAAATAGTTCGGAACACACTCTTATTATTGAATTTTTAAAATGTTTAGGTGTTTTCCTATATACATATTTGTTTGTCTTAGCTCAAAACTAATAGGGTAAATGTGTGCATAACGTGCATAGATATACATATTATGTAAAATATTATATAATATTATCTTTTCATATCGCATTCGTTCTCCCTCACACTTCACGCCTTATTATTATATATTTATGCTTCCAAGTCTATCTAAATGGTAGTTATAATTATTTGAAATTTCTTCTTTAGAATATTTTTAGGGGGGTAGGGGTAAGTTTTCAGTGAATTTTCATAATTGGAAATTGATTGAAATTCAACTTTAGAATCGCATTATATACAATTTTTGTAAGATTGTAAGAGAAAAAGGAATCAAGAAAAAAATTTGTAGTTAGTAATAATAATATTCAGGTACCAAAGTAACAAAAAAAAAATGTATTTCACTAAAGATAGAAAAAAACGTGTCTCATACTTAATCTGTAATTGAAGTTTTGAAAATTCTTCGGAGTCATCGGACAAAAGAACCCACAGACTTACATTATGGCAATAAAAATATATTGCGTGGACAAAACGAGTCATTACGGAGAGTAATCATCATTACATAATAAAACAAAATTTTCGAAATAATCCGATTTCAGGGATGAAATCTGATACTCGTAATAAGATTTCTGAACTCGCTAAATTCAGCACCTCTCAATTATTTTTTACAGAACCACGTAAATTCCATCATTTTGGCCGATAACAATGC